CAAGTGGAGAAGGACCTGGCTACGCTTGGAATATCCAATTGGCGCCACGTAGCGAAAAGAAGAAACGACTGGCGCGCTGTTGTTAACTCGGCTATAACCGCGTAAGCGGTGTCTACGCCAATTAAGAAGAAGAAGATGTTCACGAGGATCAATTTTCGAAATTCGCTGTTTTCCACTACAATCGACATAGCAGAAATATTGTTCAAAACACTTGAATGAAATTTCATTGAGCTTCGACAATATGCAAAATAAGGCTAGTACTCTAAGGCAAGGTTGGAGTGGAGCGACCAACGGGATCTCTCTTCAGACCAACAACGTTGACGTGCCACATATTATCTTAGATTATCAAAGGCTAGTGATACAAGGATGTGTATCTTCAAATAACTATTATTTAATCTCTTTTCGAATTTATTGCCGCACAGATAAAATACTAGGGTTGATCCAATTTGCATAGAAATATAAATTACTAACGATTCCAACAGACGATTTTTAAGAATATTTCAGTCATTTAATGTCGATTTATTACTACAAATACTAAAATTATGGTTATCAATACATTTTTAATATAAAAATTTACTCACATAATTAAAAAAAATATATTAAATGATTTAGAAATAGGCACAACTTTGGGAAAATAAATGAAATGTGCTGAATCCAAGAGCGGAGCCGTTATTTATGACCTTTCAGGTGTTCAAAACCTTTTAGCTTAATATGGTTTCATATACGCCCTTCCATAATGTTCCGAGCTGGTTATATATACTCGTATTCAGGCATTATTTCATGCGTTTGCCGGCGTTTCTGTGAAATAATTGACTCAAATTAGCGTCGTTAAGAAATATTATCCGGTTTCGCGTGTCGCTCACTGTAACAACTGCATGCATAAATAGTAACACGAGCGACAGTTGGGGAAAATGTAATGTATATAATGCGTAGAGTTTATAAAAAAATGGTTTGTAACTATTAGTCTATTGCTTTATAACATTAACATAAAAATGGCTTTGCTTTTATCAACCACAAGACCGCCCAACTAGAAGTTGAGCGATTGTGCAATTTCAAGCGCCCTCTTCTGTGTCACTTGCAAGGTGCAAAGAGCAACGTCAATTCATGACTAACTTAACTCGTGTTGACCGATAAAAAAAGATTAGCTTATAAGTGTACCGCGTCCCTGCTCCATTTAGGTGGCCGCAAATTGCTTAAGCGGCTCGGCCGACGTTTACAAAACTTTCTTAATTACAATCGATTTGTTCACACTACCGCCGCCCTTCAGGGTCATCACCGTCAAGAAAAGCGCAAAAAAGAAGCCAGCCAGGCCGGTGCTGCCGACCAGCAGCGTTAGGCCACCAATTAGCAGTGGCACTAATGCTATGAACTTCAGCTTGTATGCCAACAACAATGGAAGCATCAGTTTTTTCAATTTCTTTTTCAACTTTTTGCCTCGACCAATAACCAAGGCAGTAGATGTTAATGATTTAGCTGAGTTTAGTGCGTTTCCAGTTGTTGTTGCCTGGGCTGATGCTGTAACCGCAGTTGACCGTGCCGTCACTGTTGGCCACATCAATGTCGCCTCTGCAATCGACTGGGACTGTTGCGTGTTTGAATGTGTGCCGTTGGGTGGGCTTCGCTGACCTTGAACTTCAAGCGCCAACTGTGTGTTGTCACCAACAGGAATGACTGTGTCTACAGTTGCTGACTGCGCTAACGTGGCGGATGCTGAGTTCGTGAAGCCGTCCTCGCTGCTCCCCGATGTATCGAGGTCGCCGCTTACAAAGTCTGCAAAGAAAGTAGAAATATGCGAAAAAGTTTTAAATTAGTAATACATTTTCATGGCGTAGAGCAAGGAGAAAATATATTCATGAAATATGCATAGTAGACGTTATTAGTTTAGAGGACGAGTTAGTTTTGCTAACCATTGTAAATTATGTGATTGGAACTTGAATTTAATCTGCCGGATCTCAAGAAAATACTTTCAGTTTGAGTATGATTGTGAGATAGTTCATATGTTCAGAAAGATTTGCCTTACGAACATATTATTAAACCAAAAGTGTAAGACAAATCATACTCTTTATGGTGGCACCGCCCACATTTAGATGAAAACCCATATTTTTTTTGTACAACACGCTTGCTTCTCACAAAACACAATTTTAAATTCCATCTGACTCATTCCTTTCTAGTCTACAAGTCAAAAAGAAATTAATATAACGAGATGAAACTTTGTACGAGGTACATAGGTACCAAATATGTTTACCCCAGTATTTATAGTTGACAATTGACCGAAAATATCGGTCAACGTATAGGATATACAATTAAAATTCAGGGAGAATCTTTTACTGATAATAATATTTCTGTGTATTAAAAATTGGTTGAACCATGTCAATACCTCCCTGAGCCCCTATATACCTAATATAAAGATTTGCGACTTCCGAGTGCCAACATGTGAGTTATGTCAATGAAAATGAGAAGACGTGTTTTACTCATAACTTTTTATCTTTCTGGACAAACTAATTCAGTCTTCGGTACAACTTAGAACAAATTGTAAAACTGGGCTAATAGTAATGTAAAACGCGAATAAGTGCTTTTTGGCCTCTACGTCCCACTTAAATTTTGTTATTTGGCTGAGATTATATCGATTTATATATATTTATATCTCAATAAAAGATACATCGCTATAATTAAGCGACAATATTTAAATTGAAATTATGTTATTTATTATACGGCATAATATTGGTATTGCTTACAGCACTAATATGATTAATACGAGTACATATACTTAGTATCTCTAAAATGTATATTCACAATAGACCCTTAGATTTTAACTGTTATTAATTTGAATTGTGTTGCTAATTTGAACCATTTGTCAAGTGGGTGACTTTAACATCCTCGATATGTGTCTAATAAGAAGTTCTGACATACATTCTAAAGAAGGTGCAATAGGCAGTGTCTGATCATAAAACATTCAATGTAAACATCATTTTTCGCACAAATTCGAGCTTTGTGCAGTGAATAAGTACTGATAATTTCCCTTACCTGCTGCACCATCGTTGATGATACGCCGGAAAACCTCACAAAAGTGTTGCACCTTGTCCAAGGCGTTTCCCAATGGCACAAGAACTTCATTGAAATGCGCTTCCTCTAGACTATTTATATCATTTTCCACACTTCCAACCTCCATGCTTTCGTCAATATCAGGAACGACGTCCTTACGCCCCTCGTCGACCCCACCATCGCTTTTGATTTTAATATCCTGCCAAGCAAGCATTGCCTGATGCTGTGGTTGCGTAACAATGCTGTCGGCAATGTTTACTTTAGTTGTTGCTGTTTGCTCATTGTCACCGTACTTGTTGTGTTGAATCACACTTTTGTTGCTATAGTTGTTGTTATAAGTGTTGACATACCCTCGTTTATTGAAGTTATTGACAATTCTGTCAGTGGTGTTGTCGCTGTGCTCTCGCCACCTACTCCTTTCTCCCGATGTCATCGAGAGGCGTCGCCGATTATTTAACGCTAATACATATGGCGCAACAAAGCGCATATCCGGTGCCGTCGAACGGTAATTTCCGTTGTTGCTGCTGTTGTAAGTGTAATAATTTGCCGGATTTTTTTGCTGCTCCTTTTGCTGCGCCGCTTGGGGTGTATCAAGGTTGTGGCGTGCTGCGCTGTGTGGTTGTTTATCTCGTGGCAATGCTTTGTGTCGCTTGTGCAATTTATTAGCGCGTGCAGCGTCTACTTGAGTAGTAGCAGCCGCGGCAACCGCAGCGTTGGCTGCTGCATCCAGGATATACCAATTGCTGCGCACAGCAGTGGGAGGCCATTGTACTTGCTGCTGGGCGTACGTTACGGTTGTTGCTGTTGATGAAGAGGAGGAGGCAGAGGTGTAAGCTGCTGATGCAGATGACACGGCGCCGATTGGATTAAAGCCGTCGTAGTTTAAAAGCAATTCGGTTTGCAGCGTGAAAAGTGGTGCAAACAAGATTAGTACAAGCAGCAGCATCTTTCACTGATTTTTAGAGATTCGCGTATATTAACTCTTGAGATTTTAATTCGCTTCTTAATTATTTCTATATCATGGAGGTTTCACTAACCGTCACTGTTTTTTTGGCAACCGCCCGCCGACGCAGTTCATCATTCGTTCATAGTTGACTCACAAATAACTTTAACTGGCAGAGTGTTCGATATTTTATCAACTTGCAACCGCATGTCTTGAAGATTCTTTTATTTTTATTATACTTATAATTACATTGTGTGTTGTTCGTGGGACAGTGTTGATTTCTATTCATTTGCTGATACAACCAGTTGGTCATCAAAGTCTGTGTGTTACGACGCGAATCAAAACAAAAATAGAAAAGCAGAAAATTAGAGTTTAAAGAAAGGAAATTCACTTTTTACTCGAAATTTCTTAAGTAATAAAATCAACACTCTGGCTTGTCAAAGAGAAAGGCCCTAAGCTTCGAGCGCACGGTTTCGAACTAAATGTAACCAACAATCATCCGTACGCAATGCATCACTGCACACAAAAAAATTAGACGATAAGCAAAATGGGGGTAAAAAAGAAGAAATAATAAACAACCCGTTTTAGAGTCTAGATATTATCAAGCGATCAATTGTCACTGTTTTACTCATTTAGTGTGCTTTGCCGCGCTCACGCAATCATTGCTACAATTTCTTTCAAACATATAGATATATGGGTCACTCCGGCCCCATTGATTAGATACTAATGAAGATTAGACACACTTCAAAAGCTAGGTGTTTTATTTTGACAGGGCATATTTCATTTGGGGAATTCACAATGAAGGAAAAATTTAACCAAAATATGTAGATTCAATGACATTGAATTTTGATATAACAACAGTTGTGTTCAATACTTTAAAGATCTCTATGTTCTTTTATTTCATTATATGTTTTGTTATTGAAAGATATCGGGAGACCAGAAAAGGCCACGTTGCATTTCTGCTGTCCATAGTAAACATTACTAACCAAATAATAAATAAATCAAAGTCCTAATATTAATTACAAAAGTTAACGAATTTCGAAAGAATCTTATCAAAATGATAATATAATGATCATTTCTCGGATCATTTTGAAGTTGGGCTTTTATCAATTTTAACCGAATATTGCTGCCTTAAAGATAAACATTTTATTTTTCAGATTTTTCAATTTTCATGCTATCAAAATCATAATAAGTTTGATAACCTGGGAATCCTACTTCCTCTAGTTTCGAAAATTATCTCTCAGATCTATTTCATCCCTCTGAGCTTTTGGGGTTAAGTCAAAGTTCGAAATGAAACCAAAATTATACATACAACATTAAGGGGTCACACGGGTTTCCCGGGTCAAAAACAGCTTTTTCCTAAAATTTTTTTCTCATTTAAAAAATGAAATATTTGAGTACAGTTTTTTACAAGCATACACTATTAACAAACAAATTCTGAAATTAAAAAAAAAAAAATATTTTAAACTCATCCATTGCGACACCATTTTCGGTGACGGCAAAAAGATGCGCCCGCGTAGGGGCGTATAACCCCTTACAGGCTAAAGAGAAAAATAAGTGTTTAAGTTAAAACCTTAACTTAGAACTTGGACAAAGGAAAAAATACTGAAAATTGGATTTTTGGCAGACATTTTTACATAAAAAATCAAAATTTCAGTGAAAAGCTCGCGACATTTTTTTTTTTGTAAATAGTTGTAATCGAAAAAAATCCTTCAGGCAAGACTTTAAGAATTGTATCTCAAAGGCCTGTACATTTTCATGGAGATCGGTTAAGTAGTCCTCGAGAAATCTTGCCATCCAGCTTCAAAAACACAGTTTTAAGAAAAACGCGTTCAATGATTTGAGTCACAATAAAAGTGCGACACAATTGCACAAGTTCTCAAGGCTGTATCTCTTGAACTATTACCCGTAAATTTAGGGCAATATTGTAGAGGTGTTGTAGAATTTAATAAGACAATTAAAAAATGTTCATCCATATTTATTATAATATCTTTACCAGAAGCCCTCGTAATGATATATTTTTTTCTTAAGATCGAGTTAAAACTAAAACCCCTGCCACCCTTAAAGGTTTTTATTAATGAAAATCTTAATATAAAATAATCTCAAACGTGTCACGTCAGGCGACATGATTCTTTTATTTTCTAAATTATTGAAATTATTTGAGTTCGCTTGTTATTTCATCAATTTGGTATCAATGCGGCAATGTTTTCTATTGTAAATAAGTTAGGCTTTATCAATTGCCAGCTTGTAACTCTTTTTTTAAAGTACGGTTTTACTATTTCTAGTCTAGTTCGCTGTGAGATTTTTTGCGAAAGAAAGTTTGAAGTTTATTTCTAATACTAGAAAGGTAAATAATTATACTATTAAACATACAGTATAGCAGTTTAAAAACTTTTTTATTTACTTTATGATGGGAAAAGCAGTAAATTCTGTTTTAAAGGAAAACATACTTTAATATAGAAACCTTTGTGTATCTAACTGAGGTATATTTTTCTGGGATATGTCAACATAAGCGTCATGAAAGACTGGATCGCGGATGCAGAAGTTATTCCAAACTGGTGCACGGATTAGCAGAGTCTTAATTGCTGCAGGAGTAAAAAGCAATAAAAACTGTAAAAACTAATAAAATAGTTAGAGAGGTTCACGAAATTATTGTCAGTGATGAGACAGTGCGTAGATGCCTGAAAATAACGGGCTCACGGCTAGTAAAAATAACCGTTCTGGAGCTATACACCCATTAGTATAATGAGTGACATTAAATTGACATTCTGGAGGACTCATACGTTCCAAGAATCGGACTCGAGCGTGGGCAAGGAGATATTTTAATGTGGGATATTTTAGAGATTTAGCGCACTTACATCTTTTTATACTCTTGCAACCAGTTGATACACAGTATTATACAAAGTTTTGTTCACCTAACGATTGTGCGTATCACCTAAAAATTATCGAGATAGATATAGGGTTATCTATTGTTTCAAAAAGTGGGCGTGTGTCCGCCTTCTAACAAGTTTAATGTATGTATATATCTCCTAAACCACTAAAGCAATAACAACCAAATTCGCTCAGCACGAATATTACCAGAAAGATTTTGATGAAAAGTCTTCTTCAAGTATAAATAATGTTCCTTATGTGTTGTGTTCTTTTAAGAATTGTCTAATATGAATTACAACCAGTTATTAACCGATACTTTTTCTTAGATTCAAATAGCATTTCACTCCTTGAATTTGACTTTTAAACTAAATATATCGGACGTAAAATATATTTTTCCAGTTAGCAAAAAAAATAAAAAAAAAATGTTGTAATCTCATTCAAAATAGAAGTTCAATAATAAAAGTACAATACATTCAAATAATGGGAGGGCGAAGAAATTAGAAACTATGTGAACACACCTTTTTATTATTTCCTCTTTACTGCTCCACTTCGTTGCTTTTGTTGATCTCATTTTGATGGCTTAATGTTTATGTTCTTTTTAGTTCCACGTCTGACCCTAATAACTAGGTTTTGGTTTTGCTTTGCTAATATAAACTGAAAACTCTACTTCAGCACGGTTCATTGGCTCTTCGGTCATTTGAAAATTAAACACGAATACATTTTGTCTCACGTTGATGTTGATCTTGTTCAACGAATTACAGGTAAACCGCACAAATTCTTTTGCGGTGGCAATAAATATGTATATTTTGCTTGTGGTGCAAAAATTGTATGATGAGGCAAGAATTGCGAACTTGAATAATTTATTTATCAATTTTAAAGCAAAAGAGAGTAATGGAAGGATGAAGCACAATATATGTACATATATTAGGTAAAAGCTATACAAGAAAATTGATCAAATTTTCTAAATGAAACATCCTTATTCTACAATTTAATGCTTTTGACGATTGTTGTTAGACAGTTTCTAATAGACGATTTGAACATTCCGAAAATTCTTTTCTCCTTAGATAAAAAAATACACCTTTATTAGTAATAGTTACTTCCTTACATATTGACCAATATAGTTACGCAGTATAATGTCATATAACATTTAAACATATAATATCCGAAAGTCGAAAATATTTATATTAGGTATATGGGGGCTAAGGGAAGTATTGAAGATTTTACCCATTTTTGGCGCAACGGAATGCTGTGATATCCTCCCCAAATTCCCATACCATACCTCACAGTCTGAAAAATATGCCATATCGTTCAAAAATCAGCCATATGCACCTGGGGTCATCAAATTTGGTGTATGGATACTTGAAAAGTTATAGCCAGATTTCGACAGTTTTGGGCTTAAAATTAAATAACTTTAGGGTATTATTTTTGCAAAGTTTTATTCTGGCAACTTCATGGATAATTCATTTGTATACTGTAAGGTAAAAGAATCTGATAGAACTGAAAAATTGGTTATTATAGCTCTTTCAGAAGTTTTCAACATAACTTATATGGGAATTGACCGTGGTTATTATCAGATTTTACTAGTTTTCAGATTGTATACGAGGTGTGTTCAAAAAGTATCGCGAATTTTGTGTTTTTTCAAAAATTATTTATTTATTCATGAATATCTATTTTTCCCCTTCAAAGTAATCCCCATGAGATATTATACACTTGTGCCAACGGTTTTCCAATCTTCGAAACACTTCAAAAAATAATTTTTTTTATCTTTTTCAGCTCCTCCGTCGCTGCCGTCTTTATCTCGTCAAGAGAAGCGTAACGTCGTCCTTTCATGGGCCTCTTCAGTTTAGGGAACAAGAAAAAGTCACAGGGGGTCAGATCTGCGGAATACGGTGGCTGCGGCATCATTAGTGTGTTGTTTTTGGCAAAAAAGTCGCGCACAAGCAACGATGTGTGAGCAGGGGCGTTATCGTGGTGCAAAAGCCAATTTTTGTCACATCTTCTCGGCCTTCTGAGAACATTTTGTACCACCGATGAACGTTGCTTCGGTCCAAGGTAGCTTCTCCGTATGCCACCGTCAACATTCGGAATGCATCCGCGCCGTGGTTTTTATCAGAGTTTACTAGTTTTCAGATTGTATACGAGGTGTGTTCAAAAGTAATTTCGTTTTTCACACAAAATTTGATACAGGTTCTTTGACCCATTTTTTTGAATAGGTAAAAATCGAAGATGATCCAAAACACGGCAAAACGGCAAAGCAACTGTAAACAATTG